TTCTTATCTTTTGGATCTGCACTTACTCCTTGTTGGGTCATGTTGTTAAAAAAACATTTGGACGTGAATGAAATCTTATGGATGCATATCAATCAGATGCCTAGCAAAAGGTACATCCAGCGTTCAAATTAGATATGTTGCGATGGAAGAAAGGGTCATATTCAGGTTTTTTGAGTGAGAAGGGGACAGGGGTAGTATAAAGGCAACTCAATCCTGATGCGGATCGCACCTCTCCTTTTGCAGAGGTTGAGGTCGGGAAGTTTTCAGAATTGGCTTGAGCGAGGGTCATATTGTTTGTAGCATGGCACGGTTCAAATCCCATTTTACCGCTTCTCCCTAACTCATGGTGAGATTGAGAAGGTTAATATGAGTTGAAGTTAGGATAAGCAAATGGTCAAGCCAGGCCATTTGATCAGCAGAGGTTGGCTGCAGGCTCTGAGCCCATCGCGTGGTTCGACCAATCAATTTCTACCGGGGCTTTGGACGTTAAAATCACGAGTTAGGTCGAGTTGGTGTGCTATTTTCTTTAGAATGGAAACAGGAAATGCCGTTAGGGAGTGGTTAGAACAAGTAGAAAGCGCCGTAGCAACTCTAAAATTTCACTCACAATGTCGGCCGTGGTATTGCGGTGAGACAGCGCTGTGAGGAGAGTAAAAACACGATAGTGCGCGCCCTTCGCGAGAGGGCGCAAACGCCACGTATACCGCGATTCGTAGAGAGGCAGCGCTGGCCAGAGCCCAAAGCAGCGCATTGGCATCTTTGCTGCACGCTTTTGAGTCAGAGTAGTGCCACGGCTCACGGGCTTGGGTACCCTTTTCTCACTCTAGAAAAGACTACATTTAGTCCCCAATCCTGACCCGTGGCTTTGAGTTGGCATCACCACGTTCCAGTTTCGGATTCTATGTTGAGCTGGAAAATAGGCGACCGCGTCAACGGCAACACCTGATAGGGTACGAATCTAATCGCACGGTGCTTATGATACATCAACAATTGTATGAAATTATTGAAAGAAAAATTAGCTTGTTGTGTGGTATGATGAGATTCATTTTGTAATAGAAACCGTTATATTCAAAACAATCCGTTTGGATGAAAACTGAAGTTTCTCATTTCCAGAGTTGATCTGTCCGTTCGTCACAGCACCACTGCTTGTACTGTCAGCTTCATTTTGCTGCTACGTGACCTTTACAATCTTCTATATGTGTAGTAGGCGGCGAGTTGTGTACAGTTTAGAATAAAATATTTACCATGATTTTCGTCGTTGAAAGTGGATTCCATGTGTCGCGACCAGGTGCCAGCTGTGGAATACATCAGGATTTTCGCCGAGCCACGCCAAAACAGGGGATATTACTGAAGCTACAACTACTACACACCCTCGAAGGGAAACACCTGACGTGCTGGTATGCTCGACGTGACTGTGTCACGGAGGAGCGCTAGGTTTTTTTTCAGGAAGCTACGAACTGAACTACACGTTGTCTATGGAAAAAGTTAGGAATAACTCGTTGGTATTAGCACAAGAACACACGATATTATTATTAGGTCGGTCCATAAGACTTGCAACAAACTGACCGAATTTTGAATTTAATATTTTCATTATCTTTTTGTTCCATTCATCTGGCATGCTATCCTCCATCAATATCTACAACCTATTGCCAACACACTCTAGTCTGCTCATTGCCTTCCTTGTAACTCTACTGAATTCTGATCGAAGAAAGATCAGATGTCGATTTTGACATCATCATAGTTAGGATGAGCTGCCTTCTTTAGGAGATGGTTTGGAGAGGGGAGCAGGTGGGCATTATTTGCCTCGAGGTCAGGGCTATAACGTGGATACAGAAGAACTCCCCGTCCTAGAGTCTCAAAATTTTTCTGAGTTTTCTCAGCAAGAGGTTCTTCAACGGTGTCATACAAAAGCAAAATTTGCCTTGTTTTTCTTTCGTATTAAAAGCGTTGCATTCGAGCTGTAGATAGCTGACTTTTGCGTTGACTGCGACATCTACACATAGGAGTTTCCAGAGCTCAGCTCCTCCCGTGTTCCACCAAAAATCCGGGAAGGCCCTACTTGGACGAGGTTGAACCTAAAGGCAAACCCCGGGATTGGCCCGACTAGTAGGAGGGATACACTAGGGAAATTCCAAGGTCTGTAACTACCTGAATCAGTTCAGCTTCGTCGCGGAAATTGCGCGGTTAGAGCGCTATTCCTTACGGGCCGGTAACACAATTTCGACCCAATTTTCAACGCTCCCCCTCCCACCGCGAGTTGTGGTGAGATCAACGTGCATTGACGAGATATCACCGTGCTCTCTCGAACGATGTGCTCTTTCGCGTATTTTGTCTTCTTTGACCGCCCTTTCTAGCCATCGTACCACCTCCGACCATATTGAAAGTTGAGGCCTTGATTTCAGCGTTCCCAAAGATTTCTTGTGCTTTCTTTTCCACCTTCAGGTTGTTCCGCAGCAAAGGTATCACTACAAAGCGCTGACAGCACTAGTTCAATCTCGGAGTTTGCCTTTAAGCAATAAGATCTCCCGAAGCGTTCGAGCTGGGCTACCGCCGCTTGTTCATTTGTTAGCAGACTGCACCCACCTCATCTTCGGCAAATGTGATGGATGGTCAATCGTAGAGTCCCTAGTAAGTCGACTTGAACATAACGGTGTCAGATCGTGTTTGGAGCTGGATCGGGCTCAAGGCACGTGGAGACCAAACTCTACATTTTCGGATCTTCTCAAGTCTTTGGAGATGCCACACTGCTGTCTCCTTGTCGCATCGGAATCGCTCTAGCAAATGATCGATACTTTTCCAGATCCCTCTTCAACGGCGTTAGATATAGCATCGTGATTGTCAGTCACAGGGTGGTTGGAGTGTGGGTTATTTTCAATTAAAAAAAGGGAACGCTGAGCAGAGTGAAGCGCCGTTGCACTGTGGTACGAGAGAGCGTGCCCACGCCTATCTTCTGGCCAATCCTTGGTCTAGCTGGGGTGAACTGAGAGCGGGACAATCTAGACACGAAGTGGGATTTCCACAGGGAGCATCAACTCATAACACGTTCCAACCCCAACCGAATATCTCGCAGGACCCTCTAATTTGAGGAACAAATCAGTTGAACATGTAAGGAACATAAGATCTACTAACTTTTAAAAGCGAATTGAGACTGGAACTACCGCCGACTTCGTTTCATCGTTGTTGATAGTAGACTGTACCGCACTATGACATCATCATCCGGTTCGCAGTGTGATGGACTGGTATTCGTCGAATCTTAGCTAATCGACTTGAGGCAGCGGTGTCTAGGATCGTAGTTGGGAGCTGACACTCGGGCCTCGCGCATGCGCGTGGAGAGGGCCATCACTCCACCATTCTTGCGAATCTTTCACAAGTCCTTAAGACGATGCCACGTGCTGCTCTCCTTGATCGTCATCGGATCGTCTACGCAAATAATCATACTTATCCAGTATCATGCTTTCAACGGCGTCAGATAGAGCATCGTGATTGTCAGTCACAGGGTGGTTGGAGTGTGGGTTATTTTCAAATAAAAAAGTCAGCGCTGAGAAGAGTGAAGCGCCGTTGCACTGTGATTTGAGAGAGCTTGCCATAGCCTATCTTCTGGCCAATCCTTGGTCTAGCATCACTTGCGGAACATTCCAAGCAGTACTCGTAAAAATTAAGGGCATCGAGAGCCCTCTAGCGAAATCGGTGTAATATCCATAATAAGTAAGCTGGACCGTTGGCTGAAATTGCAAAGGTTGGTGCTACGCCAGGAAATATGTTGCGGATTTTCAGGAGTTCTCCCTAAAATTCTATACCATTAAATGTAGTTTGTTGCAAGACTTATGGACCGACCTAATACTTTTTATGATAGGTAAACTACGACGTACAATGTATTCCGATGAAACACAATATCGTAGCGCTTGCATTTTTCATTTCTTGACACAAACTTGAAGCAAAAAAAAATAAGAATATAAACCAGTAAGTGGCGCTCATCGCCATCATTTACAGCTTTGATTGCATTTCGCAGGAGGTCACCGGACATAGAATTTAAAAATTGAGCGGAAAAGGTAGAGTCGTTCAGACCAAGGTCGCTTAGTACAATAGATCCAAAAAAACTTCCGACTTGACACTTTTTTCTTCATTGTCTAAACCGAGGAATAGCAGATGTCGAAACGCTGCTTTTCGCCTTTTGGATTTTCCAACTTCTAAGCTCTGTACCTGAGCTCAACTACAATGATGAAGAACATGACGGTTTTGTAGTGAGGGAAGAGTACTCTCAAATAGAATGAGCGGTTTTTCGAGTGATTCTTGTACTGATTGAATCATACGCTCAAAAAAACGCAACGATATTATGCCCCAACCCAAAAGTAAGAGGAGTAAGCAAAAATAACAACATGGTAAGACATATCGAATTGCAAAAAAAGAATACCTGAAGACAATGGAAGGCTGGATAAGAATGAAGGATAGATGATCAACATGCTGCGCGTGTAAATGTTGGCGGTAACGCTGATCCACCGGCTTATAGACCAGGCTGCTAGACGGCTCTGGCACGGACGAGAAGAGCGAGGGAAGCAAAGCCCTGAGACTTCTGGACCGACTGCGCTTTACGGGGAGCTGGTCCAGCAACTGTTACCAACCAATCTGGCTTGGCTTGCTTGACTTGGTGCGTTGCCCTGCGCTTTCAGCACATTCCATTCTTAGCGGTGAAACTGCTTGCGACTTGTACTACAGCGCGTTTTCATCCCGGCGCATACCGTAAAATCCCATGTTTCATGCAAGTCACGACACCGTGTATAGCTGAGTTTTGAGCGTCACGTCCCTTTCCGCACTGCGACACTTTTCCTTTGTCGACTGGAAGCTGGTGACCATTTGTAATAGCCGCTCATGCTGGGCCGGCCAGGCGATGAGTATGTATAATATTCATTTGGCACATACTTTCCTTAAAATTATCATATTGTTGAGTACGTCTTCGAGTATCTAAATGACAAGTATTTATTGTGAGGTACTACTATGTGAGAAGTGGTCTACCCCCATGAATAATGAAGCAAATACCACAATTACTCATGATAAGGTGGATAGGAAAAAGTGTCATAAGGTATTCGGAACGTCTTCAATGTAGTCTGAGGCACACAGCGCACTTTTTTTTCTGTAATGTATTCATTTGGATTACAATGTGAGCTTCAATCGAGAGCCGTTTAAATTTTGAATGTTTCAGAATCCAGTGAGTTCAAGGTTTAAAGTCACGCTTATGGATTCACTCGTTATATAACAACGGGGGGCTTTTTTTCAAAAAAAAAACGGATTCTTCAAAAAAAATAATGTTTCAGGATCTGACACCCAGGCAGATTGAAACGTCTACACTTTTTAGGTTTGCGCAGACGTGGAAGTTTAATCGAGCTCCTGTGAATATGCTCAGAGTAATCAATGCATTATATTGAATGTGTTTAATACGAAATTTTGCTGAAGTTCAGGAAAAGCGGCAATAATTACTCAAGAATGGTAACTTTGGAACGTCATGGCGGTATTATACGAAACTGACTGCAGGCAATTTAACATACTGGACATATCGATGGAGTCGAAAATAAAAATGCACACGTTTTCTAACTCTACTCATGGCATGACAATTATAGTTAAATTGGAATCCTGCTTGAAGACCAATATCGACGTCGACGTTCATGAATGCAGTTCTTTTCAATTTCCTCTGCAATGAGGTGCCCCCTCCAATAGTTTTTAATCCCTTGCCTATTCTGTGGGATTGTTTATGGGAGGCAAATCAGAGAACACGAGAATCTCTATTCGCTTTCACGTGAATTAACCAATGCTGCGTAAATGTCAAAATGGTGCAGAGAGCCATACGCAACCCTTTGAGTAGGTTGCGGGAGATCTGTAGAAAAAGGTTGTAGCGAAAATGTGCTTATAAAGAGGGGTCTAAATAACTCAATACAATAATGACAGACTCATAAGTATTGCTTCGTCACACTCGCTCTTGAAATCTGCCATTCACATATGTCGCAGTCAGTTTCAAAAACGTGGAGGCATATTCCAGCTTCTGCTCTTTAGAGCGCGACTTCACACGACGGTAATCAATTTGAAGAGTTTGGAATATCTGCCCGTAAATTTACTGGCTCAACCAGAGTGAAAAAGGACTGATTTTCCGGAGGTGAACACATAAATTTGGATAGTCCAATTTATTGCGACTCTGCTCTTGACACACGCTGTTAT